GCGCCCCGCCCGCTGCCGACGTGTCCGTGCTGGCGTGTCCATCGTCACACTCCGATCCCTTCCCCTCTCCTTCTCCTTTTCCTCCCCACCGACATTAAAGCTTCCCCTGCATCTCTGCCGTGCACTGAAGAGCTGCCGAGATGAATATTTTCACCCCTGGGCTTTTCTCGCCCTGCCCTGCGGAGGGGGATTCCTGTTGCTTGCTGGAGCGTGGGCGCCCAGTCAGTGCCGGCCATCAGGGACCCGTGTAGGACCAGGACTGCAGGCCCTCCTGCAGGCAGCGGCGCAGTGAGACGAGAGACGTGCTTTTCTTCCCCCTCTTAAACCTCGTACGATGCTGCCTGCCCCGACTTCTTCGCAGAGCAGTGTTTGAGTGTGGCCGGCCGTGCGGTTCTCACACCATAACTTCACCTGACGCTGAGCCCCGACTGCAGGCTGGGCACCGGCTCTTCGGAAGCGCGGGAGGAAGGAGCTGACTCTCCTCGTAACTGAAGGGTTGATTGCGCCTTCATCTCTGCAGTCCCGGGTTGCACCCAGGGCCAGGAAAGTGCCTGAATTAAAAAAAAAGTGGCTGTTTTGGTGGATTTTCTGCCATTGCACAAAGTGCTGAAACTTTCACTTGAAAGCTTTAGCCCAGGAGATTTCTGAGCTGATGAACACAGGGGTAGTTCCTTGGTTTGGGTCTCTGGGTACCTTATTTTGCTCCAGGTTCGGTGTTGACTTTGCCCTGTGCCAGGCACGCTGCTGCCAAGTTTAGTTAGTGCAGGGTTGCAGGTGTCTGTCTCCAGCCCCTCGCCTTTGCCGCTGGTGCCCTCTCCATCACACCCTGCCTACGAGTGCCCTTCCCCAGCTGTGGGGCGTACGGGCTGCCTGGTGTTGGGGGGCTTCAGAGGGGAAAACCTCTGAAAATCAATGGTCTGGACAGGTGCTGGGCAAAGAATCCACGGGGAAGCAGCTCAGAAACCTCCTGGTCGGGGAGCCCCAAGCGCCCCAGCGCCCTTGGCCTGGTGCAAGACCAAGGGAGGGGGGGAGGGGGCTTGGCGTTGAGGTATGTGCCTGTGGCTGTGCATTAGGGACCTGGATATATGTCTTTGCTAAGAGCCTGTGCAGTATTACAGGCCCTTCGGCTGCTCCTTGAAGTCCTGCTGACGGCTGTGAAATACGGGAGGCGAGCGCGGGGCAGCACATCTGGGTGGGATGGAGCGAGCGGCTCCGGGGCCGGGGCTGGCGCGGCGGGTAATGGGATGCAGATGAGGGGAAGGAGTGTTTTTCCTGGCAGTCCAGATGGGCTCGACTTAATACTTGATTTAGAGGGTTTGAAAGCGGGGCCTGGCTGCTGGGGAACAGACCCTGAGCACTTCCCGGGGCGGCAAGGGGGGGGTCTCCACTGGCTTTTCAGATATTTAATGGCCCAGCACAGTCTAAACAGGGAAGTACTTCGGGGTGAGATTAGCACAACATAATCACATCTTAAAAGGCCTTCAGAGACACAAGGCACGTCCGCTCTCCTATTAATTACTTGTTATTAATAAAGCTGGGGTCAGGCTAGAGGTGTTCGCTCCGCAGCGTGCTGAGTCCCTCTTTGCGGGGCGGCGGTGTATCCGAAAGCAGCACAAAGCCCCGCCGCCTCCACCTGCACCCATCCCACTCCGGAAACCAAACGGCCAACATTCCTACAGCCGCCTTTAAAACTAATTTGCCCCATTATACCCCAAAAGGACCACGTCTTTCTAAGTGCCCAGAACACCTCTGAGCGCTGTAAAATAATAATAGCCAGAGTGTTCTCAGCACGGGAATTTCCTGCTATGATTGATTTCTAATTTGCAACGAAAATACAACCGCCCGTGTTCCCGGGGCCAGGCTGGTGCAGCTGGCTCGCAGGCAGGAGTCAGCTCTCTCCACCTCTGCGGAGCTGATCCCCGGAGGGCTGCGGCTCTGCTGGGAGGAATCAGCAGCTGCTCCCGTTTGCCCTCGGTTGTGCTGGTGTCCCCTGGCAGGGAAGGGGGCTGAGAGGTGGGTGGGATGCAGGGTGTCCTGGGGGTGATGTGCCTGGGCAGTCTGTGGGGAAACACACTGGGGTTTCCTGAGTGCCGAGCAAGAGCAGCCAGAGAGTGCGTGGGGATGGGGCAGGGCATGGGGGATCTGCACGGGGAGGCCAGCAGGCAGGCTTCTGCTCCAGAGCTGCACCTGGCTGCGATGCCAAGGAGACGCCTTCCTCCCAGCGCGGAGCTACGTGGCCGGGGCAGATGCCAAGGGAGTGCAGAGCCCCCAGCACACCCTGTCCGCTCTGCTGCGGGCAGCCCTTAGCAGGACAGCCATTGCACTGAGTAGCGCTTGATGATTTTTTAATCTGCGAATTTTTCTGAACTCTGGTAAGATTTTAGCATCCACACCCTATGGCGAGGAGTGCCCAGGATTACCCACGCACCAAATGAGGCAACACCTCCCTCTGCTCTCCCCTTGCTCGGCACTCCTTGTGTGGGGTGCCCTTGGTGCTCGCACTGGAAAAAAAAAGCTGAGCATCCCTGTGTGGTGGCTCCAGGCTGCTCGTGACTCGGTAAACCTCTTCCCAGTTGCTGCAACTGCCTGAGGTCCTTGTAGTTAACCTCAGGTGATGACCAGTTAGAAGCAGAGATGGGACGCTGTGTGTGTCCTCGAGTGGCACTGGGAGCGGGGGTCTCGGCATGGCCTGGGAGTCCCACAGCCACTGCTGGCTTGCCTCCCGCCCCCGGCCGACAAGAAAATGTTTCCCCCCG